GTTTCATTTCTCTGTTACTAATCATCATATCTTTTTTGAAAAATTGATATGAAATCTACATCATGTAAAACTAACCGTTTCAAAGTGGATAGTTCAGTGGCATCTAACACATTCACAATGCTGTACAAATTCTACCTCTATCTAGCGCCAAACCATTTTTATCTCCCCGAAAGGGAACCCCGTGCTCACTAGCAGTCACTCCCATTCCCCCAGCTGCTGCCAGTCTGCTTTCTGCTTCTGGATTTGCCTGTTCAGGACATGAAGCTATGTCCAGGTCCTTTCTCCTTGCTGGTCACCCTTCTCTGGGCCCAGCGCATGCCCTGTGTGCACATTTTGACCCTCCCTAGTGTTAGCTAATCCACCCAGGGGCCTCCAGAGGCACGGGGTTTCAGGAATAAGGCGCTGAGTGGTTGGCCTCCTTTCACTGACATGGAACCTTTGGTTTGTCCTGGTCACCCAGCTCCTCCAGGACATAGTTGGGCCACTTGTGCAGGGCCAGGGTGACATGGCATGGGAGCTCAGGGAGAGTGGGAGGGACCCTGCTCCGCCTGCTCTGTCACTCAAGGTTTGCCCTTGATCTTTTGTTAGACACCCTCTGTGTGTTTGTGTCTGCGGGAACAGTAACAAAGGCATCCAGCTCACAGGGTTGACAGAGGAGTGAGGTGCTGTTTACCCCTTAAGGTTTTGATGGCGATGATTAATAATTATTAACTGACTGTTAATGACCAGCCAGCACTTTATGTCGATTACCTCATTTGGTCTGCACAACCGCCTCCCCCATTTTACAGATGAGGAAGCTGAGGCACAGAGAAGTTAAAGCACTTTCCAAGGTCACAGATCCAAAAAGTGGATTTGGGGTTCAAACCCTGCTCCTAACTCCCCCACGAGCCCCTGCGCCTCACGGCCTCCAGCAGGCCATCATGAGGCTCCTGTGAGTACCTGCACTTCTTTTTTATTTATTTATTTTTAAATATATTCTGTAAAAAATCAATAAAATGTTTTGTTTTTTTAAAAAAAAAAAATATATATATATAGCTGATTCTTTACAGAGAGGCAGGAAGGAGAGGGATAGAGAGTTAGCAACATCGATGAGAGAGAAACATCGATCAGCTGCCTCCTGCACATCTCCCACTGGGGATGTGCCCGCAACCCAGGTACATACCCTTGACCGGAATTGAACCTGGGACCTTTCAGTCCGCAGGCCGACGCTCTATCCTGAGCCAAACTGGTTAGGACGGCGCTTCTTTTTTCTAATTGTAGCAAAATATACACAACATGAAGTCTACCATTTTCACGTGTACAGTTCAGTGGCATTGAGCACATTCACATTGTTGTGCAACCGTCACCACCACCATCTCCAGAACGTTCCCATCTTCCCAAACTGAAATTCTGTCCCCACTAAACACCACCCCCCCACACACACCCCAAGTTCCTGGCACAGCCCTTCTACTTCCATCTATGAATCTGACTCCCCTGGGGCCTCATGTAAATGAGCTCATGGAGGATTTGTCGTTTTGTGACTGGCTTATCTCCCAGCATAATGTCCTCAGGTCTATCCCTGCTGTAGCCTGTGTCAGTTTTTTCTTTCTAAGGCTGAGTCATACTCCACTGTATGGACCCACCTTTATTTGTCCATCATCCCTTTGCTCTCTGACTTTCACTCCATCCTTATCTCCAAGTCCAGCCTCCCTTGAGGGGAAGCAGTGGTGTGGGGGCAGGGTGGTTGGTCTCCTTCCTTTGCAGGGGTCCTCGGTTTGGGAGGGGCTGCCACCCTTAGCACCCTAGCCTCGGCAAAACCCAGGAGTTGTCATGGGAGGTTCCAGTGGGGTGGCTATATTCAGCAAAATAACCTGTGGGCTGCTAGTTAAATTTGAATTTCAGATCATCGGCCTGACCTCCCCTAGTATAGACATGTCCCATGCAGTATCCCCTAGAAAAGTGTGTGTTGTTCTAGTGAAATGCAGATTTAACTGGGCGCCCTGCGTTTTATCTGGCAGCCCCATCCCCAGCTCACAAGTAGAAGGGGCAGTAAGGCAGGAATGAGCTTGGGAAGTGAGAGTCCTTACAATGGCAGCCTGTTGCCAGCTTGAGGGGCTGCAGGAAGGCCACTGTCCAGGCAGCAGACTGGCCTTGTTAAGGGCCACTCCTCACTGGCCACCTCACACCCAGGCAGGGGAGAAGCCACCGGGTCGCAGAGCCTTCCTCGTAACCCTGACCGAGGCAAGCCTTGGCGTCTCCGCCCAGCACGGGCCACGCTGGGATGCTGAGTGACACAGTCAGTCGCTGCCTTTGCCTGGCCCTCCACGGCTGTCCGCTGCTGGCAGCCAGTAGGCTGATCCTGGGGTGGTGGTGCAGTGGGTGCTGTGGGCATGGAGGTGCACTGCCTCCTTGGGGAGAAGGTGCACCCTGCCCAGCATGGGCCATGCCACCTGAGGGGGAGGAGGGCAGAGGATGCCCCGAGTCAGGGCAGCTTCCAGTGTTGATGGCAGTGGGCCTACTCCTTACCTTAGCTGCCTCACCCTGTGCCCCAGCCCCACCTTTGGGGGTCCAGAAGTCCAACCCCCTCACCTCAGGGCGGGATGAATTCAGTTTAGCCCCCCATGCCATCAGGCTGGCTCTCCCCTGCCCTCCCTCCCTCCTGTGCCCCCTCCGCCTACGAGTCGTGTGCACAAGGATGTGGTCTCAGGCTCTGCTCCTCGGAAACACCTGGGGCGGGGTCACTTGAAATGGACAGGCTGCTCCTGCTGGAGCAGAGGGCTCTCCGGCTCCTGGGGCCCTGGCCCACTCTGGCCTGTTTGCGCATCCTCCTCCGGGGGCTGGGTTTGTGTCGTGTGAAGAATGAGGTGTCTAGAACGCAAGGCCCGTTCCCCCTGGGGAGCTTGTAATCCGGTTGAGCAGGGAAGATGCAGTCAGCAAATGCGGAAGAACCCAGGCCCTCTCCTGAGTCCCCGTGGAGTACTGGGTGCAGGCCTGATGCCGCGACTGCTCGGTGGGGAGCACTGTGGGCTGGAGTGCTCACCCCGCTGTTATTCAGAAGGGGTGCGAGCTGGGCTGGGTTGGGTGTGATTTGAATGGTCGGGTGGGGATTTGGGGTACGGAGAGGCTCTGTGGACGAGGTCTCGGAGACAGAGAAACCTATGCGTGGTCAGGACCAGTTCTGACTTGGGGGTGATGGCCGTGTGGAGTGGTGACAAATCAGTGATGGATCATTTGGGACCACGTGTTCGGATCCCACACTTGGTTTAGATTTTACCTCCAATGCAGGACAGGTACATAAAGGAGGTGGCCTAGGTGGGAGATAGCAGGGAGTAGAGGGGAGGGGGGCAGACTGGATGGGGTGTGCCTATCTAGATGGGGCAGCTGCTGCTGCACTCAAGTCCATTTTACTGTCTGAAACTGAAGACCCAGGGTGGCTAGATCTTGTACTTTTTAGGAGAAACAAGAGATCTGAACTTTCATGTGAAATCTCTTGAATTTGAAATGTTGGCAGTCAATTCCAGTGTTTTATAAAAATGCTGTTTGGGACAAATAAAACCTGCATATTGGCAAGTTTTAGCCTCTGAGCCTCTGATTTGTAGTCTCTAAGCCTCTGCTGTAGTAAGTTAGAAGAGTAATGGGACAAGAACCCTCCCTCCCTTCCTCTCCCCCCGCCCCCCGCATCCTCACCCAAAGCCCTTACCAGGTAGGTAGAATGTCCCCTCATTGGTGCTTTGCTAAGGCCTAGTGACAATTCTAACAACACAGGACAGATGCAGGGTGAGGCTGACTTCATATATGGCACCATGCTGAGTCATTTAATTCCCACAACGACCCATAATATGAGGAATTTTAGACTCCTGTGATAGGTAAGGAAACGGGGGGTCAGAGAGGTCCAGAAACTCACCTGAAGTCACACAGCCGTATGTAGAGCAAGAATACGGGCTCAGTTTTCCTGATTTTTTTCTTTTTCTTTTATTATGGTAAGATACAGATAACAAAAAACATGCCATTTTAATCACAGTTCAGCGGCATTAATTACATTCACAGTGTTATGCAACCATCACTTCTAGTTTCAAAACTTTTACATCACCTCAAACAGAAACTCTGTTTCCATTAAACAACTCCCTGTTTCTCTCTCCCACCAGCCCCTGGCAATTTCCATTCTGTTTTCTGTTTTTATGAATCTAACTATTCTAAATGCTTCATGTAAATATAATAGTGCAGTTTTTGGCCTTTTGTAACTGGCTTATTTCACTCAGCATAATGTCTTCAAGGTTCATCCATGTGATAGCATGGGCCAGAATTTCCCCTTTTAGGGCTGAATAATATTCCATGTATGGCTAGATGGCACGTTGTTAAATCACTCATGCTTCAATGGACACTTGGGTTGTTTCCACCTGTTGGCTGGCGTGAATAGTGCTGCTGTGAATGTGACAAAGATCTCTTCAAGTCCCTCCTTTTGATCCTTTTGGGGAGATCAGGCCTGCCCATTTCAAACCGTAAGGTCTTGAAGCACTAAAGTCCCCGTGCAGTTAAAGGTGTCCCCACCGAGTGCTCATCCGAACTCCTCTTGGAAACCTCTGGCCGTGGGGAAGTTAGCCTTGTCAGCGCTGTTTGCAGGCCAGGTCTGTGTCCCCGAAGCTGCCGTCACCGGGATGTGCCTCTGCTTTCTTCTTCACGGTGTCCCTGCGGTCTTCTCTCGGGGGCCTTCGGCCCAGGTCTAGGTGGAGCGCTCCCGTTTACTCGTGACTCTGTGCCCCTGACTGTGTAGCACCGACTCCTGGCCTCCCTCCTCCCTCCCCAACTTCTAAGGGAGAGGACAAAATGCAACTGTGGGAAGCAGGATGGAAGGGTCTTTAAAAATAACCGTAAGTGATATAAGTTGTCAAAATGCACCACAGTCTGTAAACCTCACTGAGTTGCCCCAAGATAGGAGGACCATCGGGTCTCTGTCCACCCTGGAAGGTGCCCGTCCTCCGTCACTGACTTGGGAGCTCACCCATTCTCCTCTGTCTCCGCAGGGACCTACCAGGGCCAGTGGGTCGGGGGCATGCGCCAAGGCTATGGCGTGCGGCAGAGTGTCCCCTACGGCATGGCGGCGGTCATCCGCTCGCCCCTGAGGACCTGCTCGTGGCCCACAGCGACTCCGAGCTCCTCAAGAACAAGAAGAAGGGGCTGTTCCGGCGCTCGCTGCTGAGCGGGCTGAAGCTGCGCAAGTCCGAGTCCAAGAGCAGCCTGGCCAGCCAGCGCAGCAAGCAGAGCTCCTTCCGCAGCGAGGCCGGCATGAGCACCGTCAGCTCCACGGCCAGTGACATCCACTCCACCATCAGCCTGGGCGAGGGCGAGGCCGAGCTGTCGGTCATCGAGGACGACATCGACGCCACCACCACTGAGACCTACGTGGGCGAGTGGAAGAATGACAAGCGGGCAGGCTTCGGCGTGAGCCAGCGCTCCGACGGGCTCAAGTACGAGGGCGAGTGGGCCAGCAACCGGCGGCACGGCTACGGCTGCATGACCTTCCCCGACGGCACCAAAGAGGAGGGCAAGTACAAGCAGAACATCCTCGTGAGCGGCAAGCGCAAGAACCTCATCCCGCTGCGTGCCAGCAAGATCCGGGAGAAGGTGGACCGGGCTGTGGAAGCCGCTGAGCGGGCTGCCACCATTGCCAAGCAGAAGGCGGAGATTGCAGCCTCCAGGTAGGCGGGTGAGGGGGTGGCACGGGCAGCGGGGTGGTTCTGAGTTGCCAGCTGGGCCTGGTCTGACCAGTCATGCTGCCCGGTTAGAAGCCTACACTGGCGTTTCTCAAACTATGCCCCTGGGAGCCCTGGGGTTCCTCAGAGATTCTCAGAGGTGAGGCAAGGAAATGGTTGATCTGAGAGGTTCTCGGTCATATTGCCCCTCCTTAAATAGAGCAGTATCTCTTTTGTCTATTTTATGTGCTGGTGTTTAATGTAAAATGTTGATGGATAGAGAAGGTGGGCCATTCTGCTGGTAAGAGGCATAGGATGGTGCCAGCTAAGAGAAAGGTGCAGTGCCACCGTGGCCGCGTTCCCAGCTGGGTTTGGAGTGCCCGGCATTGCTGGGACGTGGGAGGAGGGTGAAAGCTGCCCTGGCCATCTGGCCTCCAGCCCAGATTGTCCCTGGGCCCTGGGAGACAGCACCAACTGGACAGGTCGGCTGTAGGCGCCAGGCGAGACTTGGTGCTGCGGGCCAGCAGCTGTTCTGAATGGGGTTCAGGACTTTGAGTTTGGGGTCAGCAGGGCTGCTGGCCCCTAAGCAGCAGGTCTGGAGTTGATGTGGCTGGGCACCATGTTGGATTTTGAGGTGTCTTTGGTATTAGTGCAGGGGTGGGCTTCAGTGCTGGAAGAGTGGGTGCCCAGGGAGGGTCTCCTTGGGGGCTGCAGAGGTAAGCGTGTAAGCCCAGGTGTGGTCCCGGTGAGGCTGTGGGAGGCTGTGGGCAGCAGGAACATGGCAGGTGCCTGCCGCAGGTTGAAGGAAGCTGCCCTGTTGAAACCCAGGGCCCCAGGTTGCCACACTCCTGGCTTCTAAAGGAACAATCCCTGATGGAGTTAGCCAGGAGCTTTCACCGTCTGTTTGTTTTCCTGGGTCAGGGCAGGGCCCTCGGGTGCCCTGAGAGTCCTGGGCGTTGGGACCAGGGCCTGGGGACTGCTTTCGGTCCCTCAGGGTGCTCAGACAGGAGGCTTCTTGGAGCGGCGTCTTTCTGGATGATTCTGTATTCCCAGCCAGAGGCAGCCTAGAGTTACTCCAGGAAAGTTCCTGGCTCAGGATGCTCAGACCTTCCCAACCTCATCACTTAATTAAAATTTTAGCTCATTTGGTTGTGGTTTTCAGTGACCTTTGATCCACAGTGGAAGAACAAAAATGTGGTTGGCAGAATATCTGCCACTCACGGCATCTGAGGCTTCAGAGGGAAATGAAATCCATTCCAAGAGGCCGAAAGGGAAATGGCATTACTCCCTGACACCGAGGCCAGAATTGCTCTGCGCACCCCTCTGCTCCCCCAGACATGGTCAGGCAGCAGAAATAAATAGGAGCCGCATTTGTGACGACTCACCTGGTATTTTAGGATCAGATTAGGTTCCGTCGTTATTTTTTCCATTATAAGGGTAATACTTGCCCCATATAGAGAAATTGGAAAATAGAATGGAAAAGGAGAAAAACAACATCAGGTCTGGTCTGCTATGTCACTAGAGACTCTTGTTGGCATTTTGCCCTATTTCTTTCCTTTCAGTGTTTATCTTTTGTATTATGTTTTGTTGACCTCAGTGGACAAGAAGCAGTTACAGGGCAGGCCCCAGCATCGTCAAAGATTTGGGGTGCTCATGACCGCTCCCATCTGGCTGCAGGTTAGTTCGTGGCCAAGGGCCTGGGAGGCAGGAGCGCAGCATTCAGTGGACATGGAACTGGTTTAATTTTAGCGTCTGATGACCAGGCGAACTTCTTAGGACTGAGGAGTTTTCTGACAAATCCCCCAGAAATGGGGGGTGCTGGTTCCATTAAGAAAACGAGGTGGTGGTGTGGGCAGAGCTCAGAGCCAGCACACCCAGGGAACTCCACTCGGGCAGGTTTCTGAGCCTTAGTTTCCTCGTCTGTGAAATAGGAGTAATGCTGCCTGCCTGCCGTGAAGCCCTGGGAACTGAAGTGAGGACAGCTTCGTCCTGAGCTGGGGCCGCCCGTTCCCCCAGGGAGGGAAGAGTGTGGGTTTCATGAGGGCTGATTGATGAGCAGCAGGGTCCAGGAGAGGGCCAGGGCGCGGGGCCAGGAGGGCAGGGGGCGTACAAAGAAGTTGGGGCAGCTCAGGACCGTGGGGCATTGGCCGCCAGCCTTGGTGCTCCCACGCTGCCTGGGGAGGCCTCTGCCAGTGTGTTACTTGGTGTGGGGAGGCCTGAGCGAGGGAGGGGAGAGGATTAAGTCTGGTCAAGGTGTGACCAGTGCCTGGGCAGGTGGTCGGGGAAGAGTAAAGTGGGTTCCTGGTTGCATGTACCTGCTACATTTGGGGCTTTGGAGCCCTACCCCATTCTGAGAACCAGCCTGGCTGACTGAAGTGTCCCACTCTGTACACACAGATTTACACACCCCACACAAACGCACACACACACTCATAACACACACCCATTCATATCCACACAATTCAGACACGCACATGCACATTCAGACACACACAGGCATGGGCACTGAGGGCAGGCTGATGCAGAGCCAGGTCTGTGCAATGCTGGGGGGCGGGGAGGGGGGACGCAGCCCCCTGGCCCCCTCCATCTCCCCCTAAGCGGGTCTCCCAGATCATGGGAACAAGGCCGCAGAGCCTGGCATTTAAAACCTGTCTGAGAGCGGGGCAAACCTCAGGTGGTGCGTGGAGCCGTCAAAGCAGTGTCCAGCCTGGGCCATCGCTGCCGAGTTACCTGGGGAAGGGGCTAGCCCTCTCTGCACCATTTCCCATCGAAGGCCGGGAGGAGCAACGCACACAGCCCTCAGCTTGTGTGGGGCCCGGTGTGCTCCTCTGACCCCCGACCCTCTCCTGAGCCATGCCAGCCCTCCCCCCTCCAGCTCCTGGCCCTGCAGGGAGGTGGGCATGTCTGCACATCCATGCGTGTGACCTTGTCGTGCTGGCTCCTGGTGCCCAGGGTTGCTCCTTGGAGGCCGGAAGTGGCATGGTCCTGGTTACCACGATGGGCATGAGTCTGAGCCTCGTTCCAGGCTGCGGGGAGGTGGGGGGGGTGGGGAGGGGGGCTTCTTGTCCTGCAGTTTCTCAGTGGGCTTAGATTTGGAAAAAAGGAGGGAACAGAGGCTGCGTCCTCGAGAACAAAGCAGCAGGTGGACGGCTGGGTCAGTGCCCCCCAGGCCCCAAGGCCCACCCTCCAGTGGAGGGTGAAAGTGGCACGGCGGCCCCAGGGGGCTGCAGAGTGGCTGGCCCTGGGTGGACTCCAGTCACTGTCACAGCCAAAGAAAGAGATCGCCAGGCAACAAGGGAGCTATGGCCGCTGGGTGTGGGTTATTGAGCTTAATCAGAGACACGGTTTGGTGTGTCCTCCTCAGAGCGCCGGGGGCAGCTGCTGCTAGGAGGGGGACACAGGCTTCCATGTTAGATGGGGGTCTCACCGAGTTTGAGTTCTGAGAGGTGGTCCCATTCTCTCCATTTCAGAGAGGCCCACAGTGGCTAAGGGCCGGGGACTGGCCGCACAGCTAAGGGGGTGTGGGGGTTCCTCCCGGGACAGGGTCTGCAGCAGGTTCCCAGGCCCTCGCCGGCCCTGCCCCTTGTGTGCTGGAACTGCCTGCGGTGCTCAGACACATGCTGGCCGCCCCGAGGTGCTGAGCTCCCGGCTGCAGAGCCCTTCACGTCTCTAGGTGATTCTCAGGTGAGCTCAGCACCCTCGGAAGGTGTGTAAGATGCAAATGGCTGGGCCTCCAGAGCTTCTGATGTGGCAGGTGGGTACCTAAGAACCTGCATTCCTGAGGAGCCCCCAGTTGCTGCCCCGAGAACCGCGGCTCTCCTCTCTCACAGGAGGCCACAGCGGAGAGGAGACGCCCACAGATGTGCCTGCGACGAGGCAGAAGGTGGAGGGTGCCCTGACGGGGTCTTCAGTGTGAGGCGAGGGTGAGGGGCGGGAGAGCCAGGCGGGTTGATTGGATGAGTTGAATCAGAGCAGAAGGTGCCACTGTCCTTCACCTGTGACTTCCTCCTGTCGGGTCCTCTTCCCCAAATTGTGAACTGCCATCAGAGACGGGCTGTGCTGTATTCCTTCTGCCCTGCCACCCAGCCAAGTGGGAAACGCAGGGGCACTCTCAACTAACTGCTGTAAGCGCCTGTATTCGGATGGACCACAGATAAGGACTTCTCTTGCCTCCATACACTCAGGACACTTTTATGAAGTATCTTCTACCTAGATAGCAATTATGTCACCATTGCACCTGCTGTTTCTCACCCTTTGCCTCGCCCATGGCAGACATAACTAGTCAATCACAGTGCTCCTAGCTGCTGGCCTGGAAGATGAAACCTAATGGCCATCACCTGTTGCTCAGCAGAGGTCCTGGTCCAGCCTGTGGTCTGGTTGGGAATCGAAATCTAAACTAGAGATGAAAGAGGCATAGAGAACCCCTAGTGCAGAGATGTCACACTTGACCTTTTAGTCACACAGCCTTTTGTCATGCAAATCCTTACAGCTCCCCAAGGTATAAAAGAGATGAAGGTGCTGTTCAGAGTCAAGCTGGGGGCCAGTCGGGGCAGACTGTGGCCTGTTTGCCTCTTTCCTTCCTACCTCTGGGTGGTGGCCCCAGGACATTCAGCAGTGTCCTGGGTTGATGGTTTATGCTTGAGCAGGTGTCTGACACTGCACCAAGTGCCAAGGGAGAGAGTACTGGGATCGGCTAGCTATGCTAGCTATATCTGCCCCCAGCCGGGCAGGGAGGGTTCTGGCTGCTGTGAAACCCATGACCTCCTGGACCCTACAGACCCCGGAAGAGTTACATGGGAACCTGGTGGTGTCCCTTTTGCTAGGACCCCTCTCTTGCCTCCTGTGTGATTTATCTCAAACGTTACTGTGAAGAGATGTCGGAGGGTTTTACAAAGTATAAAGAGCTGAGAGGAGGAGGTGTTTCTTATCATGTACTGACTATTCTATTAGAACATGAACTCCCCAGGCCAGAGATTCACCGTTGAGTCACTGGAGCCTAGGGCCGT